AGGATCCAAACCTAGTGACCAGAAGTAGTCGATTGGTCCCCGTTGATGAAACGCAAGCGCCATCTGTAGTTTCGAGTACAACTTCTGCGCATTTCAAACGACCGCCCAAATGACTGCTGTGCAAAAGGCACAAACAAGCGGTCTCAGTGCCAGACACACAGCAGATATAACACATTCCAGCTTTGAAGGCGCGGCTCAACGCCAGATACTCGGATACATGCCGGAGGCACCGACACGTTTAAATATAATAAAATAAATCAGGAGGAGATGGAGACCTGATCTGGCCCGACTTCGGAGAGACTCATAACACATGCAGGGAGGAGGTGAAGTGAGGTGTCTGTCATCATCACTCTGCTGCCAAATCAATCACCTGACGCTGGACAGAACGCACGTTTGGTAAAAATCAATCATGCACAGAGAGGGTCTGTATTTTAATACTGCGTAGCCGTGACACCGTGAAGTCACTGCATATCAAATCAAATCAAATAAATAAATGCTTTGCTTCGGAAAATCGTGATTCATGGTTATATGTCGGAGGGGGTGACGGGAAGGCGGGGGGGGGGGTAATTAACTATTCGTGCGTAATCTGCTGCAGGGGCCCCGGCATTAATGTGTCAGACGGGCGGAGAGTGAGTGTATAATAATGAGCTAACGTGTGTGTGCGTGCGTGTGTGCGTGCGCGTGTGTGTTATAGAGAAGTGGTGCTCCGTGGGCCGCCCTGGCCGTCTCTGCGCGTCTGTTAAACAGCACTGAGGGCTGTTCGGGTGGGGGAGGGGCGCGCACACACGCACGGTCTCTGCGGGGAAGTGATCCGTGCGCTCCAGACCTCGTCAAAACAAAAAGGTTTGCGGAGCGCTGAGGGAGAAGAGAGGAGGGAGGGAGGGGGAACGGAGGGAGGGAAGGAGGGAGGGGGGGGGAGGGAGCCTCTCCTGTTTCATGGTGAGGTCCCGGGAGGCCAGCACGGAGCATAGCTTCAATCAAACCGTGACGTCTCCTCCGGGAGCTACGCAGCAACAGCAGCAGCAGCAGCGCCTGGAAAAGTGATCTCTCCTCGGCTCTGTGCCGTGCCAGAGCTTTTGTTCACACGCACCTCGTTGCAGCGCAGCGGAGAAGAGCACAGAGAAACGCCGGCAGCGACGATCCTGTTGTTTTGTAACCAGGCGCGCGCGCGTGTGTGTGTGTGAGGCAAGAAGGAAAACGCACACACGCAAACATGCACGACAATAAAGGCCAGCCTTTATTCTTCTGACTGGATCAAAAACAGAGAGGACGTTTCCCCATAAACACATTATTTTAGTTTTACTACTCTAGCTGAACTGATTCTCTGCGTAACGTTTTATTCCCCACGTGTGGCTGAATCGTGAGGGTGAATCGATACCAGATTAGGAAAGTGAACAAACCGCAGGTTAATGTGGTAAAAATAGAGGGAGTGCTGTCCCTGGACACGTACCACTGACACACTGACGTGGGTCACTGCAGGAGGCCACGGGGTCAAAGTCTCCTCGGCTGCGTATTCTATTCACCATCATTTGTACATTTCTGAAAGATTAACTATAAAATAGTTGAATTTACATATTTAAGGGCAACTACAATAAAGTACTTTATACTTTAACAGTAAGTCAAGACTGAAAGACGAGTTCAAACCAAGTCACACGATTCAGGACAGGAACATTTAAAGAGCACCCTTCGGACACGTTAGCCGGAAAAAAGGAAACGCTTTCTGTGATTACGAGGTAATTCATTAATGAATCGATCGATCGATCGTTTCCTTTTTTCGCCACGTGAATCCAGAAATTGTGTGAGTTAAAGGTAAAACTTGGGATCAATTTCTCTGTCTGCTAAATTTGAAGAATGTGAGGACAAACTTTTAAAAGTGGAGCCACTTATTTCCTATCGTCCTTGAACCGTCCGCTTGGCCAACTTGGCTAATAGGTCTGGGGCCATAAAACTGTTTTGAGGCAGCGTAAAAAGGAAAGGGAGAGACGGGGGAGGGGCGGGGAGTTGTCAATCTGTGCCCCCCCCCCCCCCCCCCCCCCCTTCGTCTCCCCCTCTGTGTTCCAACACCTGGAGAACAGATCAGAGCCACGCTGACTTCACAGCTCAGCTCGGCTGCGCTCAGCGCAGGGTGGAAAAACGATGCGCAGAACAGCGCCACTATAAATAAGCGAAGAAATTTGTTTTCACGCATCCACGAGCGCGTGCGCCGCCGCGTTAAAATCACAATCAGCTGTAGGATACACGCGCAATGTGTTTCAAATGACCTCCACCGTGAGTGACTCGGTAACCTATCAATAATACCAACCAATGAAATGGCAGAGCGACAGAAATTAGTCAAAGTGTAAACGGACTACGTGTCACTGACACACACGCGCGCACACACGTAGTCTTTAAGATTAATCGTGGGTTGTGTTCGCGTTTTTATTCCTTTTAAAAGCCCACGTTTATAGGTAAAGCCGTATAAATGTATAACAAGTGTCTTTTATTGTCTTATCAGCTCAGATCGACGTTTCATTTAAATACAATTAAGCTTTTATTCTCCCTCGATGCCCCCTGGAGCCCCCACCCCCCACTGTTTAATCCTCTCTGCCCTGTTCCCTGGGAAAGGACGAGGTTCCTCATCGGCTCAGGTCTGGATCGGTCACATAGAGCGGCTCTGACGCACAGACGCGTGCATGAGGAGATTCTATCGTCTCCACGCTGCATATATAGATCCTGTGCGCAGTGGCTGCCGGGATTTAAGTGGTCTTTTAGTAGCTGCTTCCCTCACTAGGCTCGTCAATGAGCTGGAGCCAGCCAATATGAGGCACATCGATCGTCCTGAGGAGAGCGTTCCCTAATTAGTGCCAGTGTGGCTCCAGGACAGGCAGCAGGCACCGCGGCACATACACGTGATGAGAAGGAGGTGGGAGGAGGAGGAGGAGGAGGCGGTGGAAAAAAATCCCCTCATTTATGGGCCTTTAATCTGCTGTGATAGTGTTGGGGGTGGGGGGATTCCTTCGGGTGAAGGCGGCTCTGCTGGGTCAAGGCGAGAGGTGCGCGAACAGAGACGAGAGTTCAAACTCTTTTAAAGATGGAGCAGATTAGACAGCGATCAGCGACCGGAACACGGTGTCATAACACAGCACAGCGATCACACCAATTAACTCGGCGTGGTTTCGGCTAGATTATAATTAAATTAATTAGACAACGTTTTTACTTTTATGACTTTCTTCGTGGATATTTTAATTCCAAACACAACTGACAACAACCTTTGTACTCACATATGGGTGCAGAACGATTAACCTGAGAAAATGCGTTAATTTGGCTAAACAGCAAAAAAGGTGTCAAAAGAAATTAATTAAAAAAATAACCAGAAGTTAGCCTCAAAATAAAGGCTATCATGCTAACCTTTTTAAAATGTTAGTCCTAAAATTAAAGGCTACGATATCTTTCTTCCTCGCCAAACTTTAGTGAGGAGAAATAGCTAGAATAACTAAAGATAGCTAAAAAGACAGCTAACAGTTAGCCCATAAACAGCTGTAATCTAATCTAATGTGTGGGCTATAACATGGCGAGTATTACTGTGAAATCTGTCCTTGAAACGTTACCCAGAAATACCTAAAATGTTGACATTTCAGCTAAAAATAACCAGGTCAAAGGTCATTAAAACATTCTCGAGAAGTTGCTTTAATTTCCTGTAGCTTCGCACCACAGCATGTTGATGCACGAAATGAGGAGAAAAAGAAGTCACTCGTAATTTTTTTTTCTAAGTGTTTTTCCTGTTATTAACGAGTCTCTGGTGGCACTTTCTCTCTCTTGTAGACAGCAGCG